TTAATGTTGGAAAAGGCTCCCCCTTGGTTTCAGCCTCATCAAACTTCTCTGAACTTCTGAACTCCAGGACTTTAAGGTAACACATATGTGTGGTTTGAAGCTGCCACTTACAACAGACACCAAGTTGAAGTTTGGGTTAGTGGCCCCCAAACCAGAGATTTCAAGATCCCATGTCCTGGCGTTCTGAAGAGTGAAGAGTTATCTAAGGTGTGGAACCTAAATTTTCAAGATTATGTCCTGGTAGGACCAGGAGGTGCCAGATAGGATGGGCCATTTCGGGGGGGGACACTCACCTTCCACTTCAGGATGCTTCATTAGCAGCAAAAATCCATAGCGTAGTGTGGAGCTCACTGTTTCTGTGCCCGCAAAGAAGAGGTTGAGCGTGGTAAGAACCAAATTCTTGAGGTTGAATTCTGTGTGGGGATCATTTTTTTCCTGAAAGTGAGGAGATAATAAATAGCTACCATCTTAAGTCTTTATTTTCTTATTTTATCCCTGTGAATACTGTAGGCCTTTTTGAAAAGTCAATAGATGGGTAAGCCAAGCTGGGAGAAGAAACAACCAGAGCAAAGATCCTGAGACAGGAGCGGAGGTCCTGATCCTGGTGTGTTAGAGGAAGAACAGGGCAGAGAGCACTGTGGCTGTAGTAGACAGAGAAGTAGAGCAGGAGAAGGGAGTAGTGCCTTGTAAGATTTGAAGGTTATAATTATAAATATTAGAGTTTATAATTTTAAACTACTAAGTACTAAGTTTCTTTGTTTCTATTTACTTTTTTGTTTGTCCTTTTTAGATATGCATGACAGTAGAGTATATTTTGATACATTATACATACATGGAGTATAACTTATTCTAATTAGGATCCCATTCTTGTAGTTGTACATGATGTGGAGTTTCATGGTGATGTATTCATATATGATCATAGAAAAGTTATGTCCCATTCATTCCACTGCCTTTTCTTTTCCTATCCACCCCTACTTCCCTTTATTCCCCTTTGTCTAATCCAGTAAATTTCTATTCTTCCCCTCCCCGCTTGTTGTATGTTAGCATCTGCATATCCAAGGGCTAAGGTTCTATAAGATAAAAATAGAAATTTCCAGATGTCTAAAATTCTAAGAATCAATGATACAACATATTAAGCCTCTAAATTTTACATCTCTAAGACTTTAAAATTTTTAAAGTTTGAGCTCCAATTTTTAAAAAAACTAAGCTTCTAGGAGCCAGGGTTGTGGCTCAGTGGTAGAGCACTTGCCTAGCATGTGTGAGGCACTGGGTTTGATCCCTGGCACCA